TATCCCTCTGCTCACTGCCCATTCATGTATCTGTCCAGATACATCTTAAATGACGCTATCGTGCCTGCCTCTACCACCTCTGCTGGCAATGCGTTCCAGGCACCCACTACTTTCCATGCATATCTCCCTTAAACGTTTCTCCTCTCACCTTGAAATCGTGACCCCTAGTAATTGAGTCCCCTACTCTGGGAAAAAGCTTCTTGCTATCCACCCTGTCTATACCTCTCATGATTTTGTAGACTTCAATCAGGTCCCCCCTCAACCTCCGTCTTTCTAATGTAAATAATCCTAATCTACTCAGCCTCTCTTCATAGCTAGCGCCCTCCATACCAGGCAACATCCTGGTGAACCTCCTCTGCACCCTTTCCAAAGCATCCACATCCTTTTGGTAATGTGGCGACCAGAACTGTACGCAGTATTCCAAATGTGGTCAAACCAAAGTCCTATACAACTGTAACATGACCTGCCAACTCTTGTACTCAATACCCCGTCCAATGAATGAAAGTATGCCATATGCCTTCTTGACCACTCTATCCACCTGCAGGGTACAATGGACCTGAACACCCAGATCTCTCTGTGCATCAATTTTCCCCTGGGCTTTTCCATTGTTCGCTCTTGAATTGGATCTTCCAAAATGCATCACCTCGCATTTGCCTGGATTGAACGCCATCTGCCATTTCTCTGCCCAACTCTTCAATCTATCTATATTCTGCTGCATTCTCTGACAGTCCCCTTCACTATCTGCTACTCCACCAATCTTAGTGTCATCTGCAAACTTGCTAATCACACCATCTATACCTTCTTCCAGATCATATATGTATATCACAAACAACAGTGGTCCCAACACGGATCCCTGTGGAACACCACTGGTCACAGTTCTCCATTTTGAGAAACTCCCTTCCACTACAACTCTGTCTCCTGTTGCCCAGCTAGTTCTCTATCCATCTAGCTAGTACACCCTGGACCCCATGCGACTTCACTTTCTCCATCAGCCTACCATGGGGAACCTTATCAAACGCCTTACTGAAGTCCATGTATATGACATCTGCAGCCTTCTCCAGCAGATTCCCCACCACTGACGTCAGGCTCACCTATAATTACCTGGATTATCCTTGCTACCCTTCTTAAACAAGGGGACAACATTAGCAATTCTCCAGTCCTCCGGGACCTCACCCATGCTCAAGAATGCTGCAAAGATATCTGTTAAGGCCCCAGCTATTTCCTCTTTCGCTTCCCTCAGCAACCTCGGATAGATCCCATCCGGACCCTGGGGACTTGTCCACCCTAATGCTTTTTAGAATACCCAACACTTCACCCTGCCTTATGCCGACTTGACCTAGAGTAATCAAACATCTATCCCTAACATCAACATCCGTCATGTCCTTCTCCTCAGTGAATACCGATGCAAAGTACTCATTAAGAATCTCACACATTTTCTCTGACTTCTCGCATAACTTCCCTCCTTTGTCCTTGAGAGTGGGCCAACCCTTTCTCTCGTTACCCTCTTGCTCCTTATGTACGAATAAAAGGCTTTGGGATTTTCCTTAACCCTGTTGGTAAAGATATTTCATGACCCCTTTTAGCCTTCTTAATTCCTCGTTTCAGATTGGTCCTACTTTCCCGATATTCTTCCAAAGCTACGTCTGTTTTCAGTCACCTAGACCTTATGTATGCTTCCTTTTTCCTCTTTGCTAGTCTCACAATTTCACCCGTCATCCATGGTTCCCTAATCTTGCCCTTTCTAGCCCTCATTTTCACAGGGACATGTCTATCCTGCACTCTAATCAACCTCTCTTTAAAAGCCTCCCACATAGCAAATGTGGATTTACCCTCAAACAGCTGCTCCCAATCCACATTCCCCAGCTCCTGCCGAATTTTGCTATATTTGGCCTTTCCCCAATTTAGCACTCTTCCTTTAAGACCACAATCGTCTTTGTCCATCCGTATTCTAAAACTTACGGAATTGTGATCACAATTCCCAAAGTACTTCCCTATGAAATTTCAACCACCTGGCTGGGCTCATTCCCCAAAACCAGGTCCAGTATGGCTCCTTCCCAAGTTGCTCTATACTGCTCTATAAAACCCTCCTGGATGCTCCTTACAAATTCTGCTCCATCTAAACCCCTAACACTAAGTGAATCCCAGTCAATGTTGGGAAAATTAAAATCTCCCATCACCGCCACCCTGTTGCTCCTACATGCTTCCATAATGTCTACATATTTGTACCTCTATCTCACGGTCGCTGTTGGGACGCCTGCAGTACAGCCCCAACATTGCTATCGCACCCTTCCTATTTCTGAGCTCAGCCCATATTGCCTCACTGCTCGAGTCCTCCATAGTGCCCTCCTTCAGCAAGGCTGTGATATCCTCTTTGACCAGTAATCCACCCCTATTACCTCCATCTCTATCCTGCCTGAAGCATCTATATCCGGGGATATTTAGTTGCCAATTTTGCCCTTCCCTCAACCAAGTCTCAGTAATAGCAATAACATCATACTCGCTGGTACTAATCCAAGCCCCAAGTTCATCTGCCTTACCTACTACACTTCTCGCATTAAAACAAATGCACCTCAGACCACCTGTCCCTTTGCGTTCATCATCTGCTCTCTGCCTCCTCTTTCCCTTAATCACACTGACTTCATTATCTAGTTCCTTACAGGCTTTAGTTACTACCTCCTCAGTGTCCACTAACCACCTCATTTGGTTCCCATCCCCCTGCCACATCAGTTTAAACCCTCCCCAACTGCGTTATCGAAAGCACCCCCTAGGACATTGGTTCCAGTCCTGCCCAGGTGTAGACCGTCCGATTTGTAATAGTCCCACCTCCCCCAGAACCAGTCCCAATGTCCCAAAAATCTGAACCCCTCTCTCCTGCACCATCTCTCATTTATCCTGCCTATTCTTTCATTTCTACTCTGACTAGCATGTGGCACTGGTAGCAATCCTGAGATTACTACCTCTGAGGTTCTACTTTTTAACTTGGCTCCTAACTCCCTAAATTCTGCTTGTAGGACCTCAGCCTGTTTTTTAACCTATATCATTGGTGCCTATGTGCACCACGACAGCTGGCTGTTCACCCTCCCCCTTCAGAATATCCTGCAGTCGTTCTGAGAAGATACCTTGATGAGTTGCTGCCATGCATCTTACAAATGGTGAACATTGCTGCTGTTTAGATATTCTCTTATTGCAGATGGTCCAATATTGGGCTGACTTAGACACTAAACTCTTCAGTATGAGAGCAAATCGATGTCTGGTTGGTGTTGATGGTGCCTGGGACATTGGCTGAAAGGTATGATTCTTACAGTATGATTACATTAGGCTGTTGCTCAATTAGTTTTTAGCACAAGTGCCCTGATATTACTATGGACAAATTTTGCAAGAGTTTACATGCCTGTTTTTGTCATTATTATTTCCAGTGCCTAGGTTGACGCAGACTGACTTGTCCAGTTTCACTCATTTTATATACTGTACCAGTTTGATGCAGTCAATTATTTTGTAGGGCCAGGTCAGAGGGTATTTAAGACCTGATAACTTTGTTGTGGATCTGGAGTTGCACATAACCCAGGCCAGATACAGACAGCAGATTACCTTCCCTAAAAGTGCAGAAGTAGATGAGTTTTTAAGACAATCAAAAATAGCTTCATGGTCACCATTACTGACGGCTGGAATTTAAATTCTAACCTGGACCTCTGTTACTCACCCAGTGACATTACCATTATGCACCCATAGTGAAATTGAGGCACAAAGTTATAGCTTCATGTCAAATGCCTGTGTCAATCAGGCAATCATTTGCAAAATAAAAGACAATCACCCTGTTGCACACCAAACAGTATTTTACAAGCACACAGGCATATCTTCAGGCAGCAGCCAAACTAGCTGTTGTTTAATGATATACAAAGTCTGCTGGATAGGATCAATTTGATTGGAGTTGGGTGGTAATGTTGCATCTGTACAGGACATTGGTTAGGCCACTTTTGGAATACTGTGCACAATTCTGGTCTCCCTGCTATAGGAAGGATGTTGTGAAACTTGAAAGGGTTCAGACAGGATTTCCAAGGATGTTGCCAGGGTTGGAGGGTTTGAGCTTATCGCGTGAGGCTGAATAGACTGGGGCTATTTTCCCTGGAGCATCAGAGGTTGAGGGGTGACCTTCTAGAGGTTTACAAAATCATGGGCATGGATAGAGTGAATAGTCAAGGTCTTCTTTTTCTTGGGGTGGGGTGTCCAAAACTAGAGGCCATAGGTTTAAGGTGACAGGGGAAAGACTAGAAAGGGACCTAAGGGACAAGTCTTCTACGCAGAGGATGGTGCGTGTATGAAATGAGCTGCCAGAGGAAGTGGTGGAGGCTGGTACAATTACAACATTTAAAAGGCATCCGGATGTGATAGGTTTAGAGGGATATGAGCCAAATGGTGACAAATGGGATTAGATTTTTTTAAGGATATCTGGTTGGCATGGACAAGTTGGACTGAAAGGTCTATGCTGTACAACCCAGTGGGGTAAAGAAAGTCAGAGAGACACAGCTGTCTGTGTGAAGACAATTTTCTCATCCTAGTCCTAAATTTTCATCAATTCAGCTGAGACTATGAATCCTAGATGCACCTGGTAGAGGAGGTAACAGATCATGGGCATCTTTGGCTTCAGAGGTATTATATACCATTAGATCATAAGATTGGGAGCAAATATAGCCTATTTGGAGAGCTCACTGCTGAATCCTCAATTCTTCCCATCAAAGTCCATAACCTCACATTTTTCCCCATTGTAGTCCATCTGCCAAGTTTTTGCCCACTTCCTTAGTCTGCAGGAGGATATAGATGGTTGTCATTGACAAATTTGGCTGTAGCATGTGTACTTCTGCTAATCAATATTATATAGTAAATAATTGTGCCTTAGCACTGATCCCTGTGGTACTCCACTAGTGAGATGGTGCCACCTATCTTGATTTGTTTTAAAAAAAAATATACAGCATTGTTTAGGACAAGGAACCAATCATGCGGAATCAATTTGATTGATGCACAAGTTTTATTTCACACTTGATACAAAGTAGGAAACAGGATATTAAATTAAAAATACATTTTCATGTTTCTACATGAAGGCCTATATGCAGCTGATATTGTCCACCTCAGTACTGGGTTTAGCCTGGTTCAAGAATGAACCCTATATTATTAGACAATGGAATTATAAATTTTCTGGAATTCCACTGTTCGGGTGAGCTGCATGACAGGTGCAGCCTTTTGTCTGTAACTGCTCCTCCTCATCCAATCTGTATGCCATCATCTGTTCCTGTCTGTCATCATTAGCCCAGCTTTATTCCTCAACCCATTTTATCCAGGCTTTTCAATTTTCATCTCCTGACTGACAAACAGTTTTCCATTACCACCACCTCCCAGATGGTCCCAGCAAATTTTTCACTGTAGTGAGAAAATAAAAGGCTTGGGTCACTGAACGTCCCAGCCTTAATATTTATTTAAATACAGCTGTACTTTAAATTCTGTAAATTCTGCAGGTCTCTGTTGGCTGTCACCTCTTTCCTAATGGTAGACATGGCAGATGTGCAGAAGCCTGCTAACTCTATGAAGAGGCCTGTCACAGGTGAACTTAAAAAATAGATGCACAAGAATTGTTAAGGTGAATCCAGAACATGACAATCTAAATGTCAGGGTTAGAGGAGGACCAAGTTCTAGTACACCTATCCCACTGTGTGATATGATGCAATGAGCTGAGAATCTGGTCAATATTTCATGCAGATTTATTTACCAATTGTCAAAAACTGAGTATCTCTGTTAAAAGGAAGAGTGCCATTGCAAAGCTCTGCTCCAAAAGGGATAGGCAGAGTGAGAAAATGATCTTAACTTGATATGCTGACTGAAATTTATCAGTGGCTACAAATGAAGGATGACCCCTTTACCGCTAATTTTTTTACTCTTAGCAAAATTAAGAGTAGAAACTTGCAGTCATCTCCAACCTCAGTTCATGTCACTGCTCTTGACAGCTAATCACAGTTAAAACAATTGTTATGTAGGAAAATGTAATTTAAGCACAGCAAGATTCCATAAATTGCAATGAAATATATTATCACTTAATCTGATTTTAACAGCTTGGTTGACCAGGAAATGCAGAACTCTTGCTGGTCTTTAAATAGGACCATAGGATCTTTTATTTCAGATGAATGTAAAACTGAGCCTCTGTCCTGCCAAACAGCTGAGATTGTGCACTCAAGTAGAGTTGAATTTGGACTTTAAATCTTCTGACTTGAAGACAAATCTACCTAACAAACCTGACAAGCACAGCTTACATCCTCCACTTCAAGGACTAGTATACCAGCCAAGAAACAAATTTTCTTTCCATTCCCAAAGTGACAATGCAGCAGTGATTTGAGTAAGGATAGATAATGAGAAACTCAGCTTGAAGTCAGCATGCAGACCACCTGAATATTTCACATACAAGCACAGAACACAGATATTACCATAGAATTACAATCCAGGAATTGGAACCTTTTAAACAAACAGTACCAGTCCACTCTAACTAGATCCACGTACATGCTGTTCTCTTCATCTTCAATTGGTAAATTCAAAGAATGGTTTCAGCCCCAGTTAGATATGATTTCTGTAATTAATTGAAAGGTAGAAAACCTTGGTGAAAGATTTAACTTCCCAGAAGAGTTCATCTGCCTCATCAGATCACACAATGACCTAGAAAAGTAATCACTTCCGTTTGTCCTTAAGCAATGAGGAGCCAGAACATAATCACAAGAGCCACAAAGAGGAAAAGGCGAGACAGAAACTGTTCATCCACGTACTGTGGCGTTCCAGGGACTGCTGCAGGGTGAAATGGCACAAACAAAGTCAGATTCCAGCATCTGGAGACAGCTGTACATGAGAATCACCCCTACCCTTTCTTCCCTTGTCCCCCTTTGTGGGCTTTAGTTCCAGGTTTACTGTACTCTTCCAGTTCCTGCCCTTCAATTCAGATCCACCCTTAAATAATGAATTTATTAATAACGATAGGGATGGCACAGGTTCGAATCCCGCCACGGCAGATGGTGGAACCCATCTGGTTCACTAATGTCCTTTAGGGAAGGCAACTGCCATCCTTAACTGGTCTGGCCCACTTGTGACTCCAGAGCCACAGCCAATGTGGTTGACTCTTAACTGCCCTCTGGGCAATTCGGGATGTGCAACAAATGCTGGCCTCACCAGAGATGCCCTCATCCCATGAACGAACAAAAAAAATTTGAGTTCAATAATAATCTGGAAATAAGACTCTAATGATGATTATCAGGAAAAACCCACCATGGTTCACTAATGCTCTTTAGGGAAGGAAATCTGCCATTTTTAGACTCTGACTCCATACCCACAGCAATGTGGTTGACTCTTAACTGCCCTCTGGGCAGTTAGGGATCGGCAATAATTGCTGGCCGAGCTAGTGACACCCACATCCCATGAATAAATTTAAAAAAAAAACTGATTTGAAGTACCCTGCACTCGGTCTTTCGAGCCATCTTGTTTGTTTGTTTCTATTTTTTGCTGGCTGCTCTCAATGGCAGCAACAGGTCATGGACAGATGAAGTGTGCATCACTTAGGGAGCAGGGATGAAGCAAAGACATTATATATAGGTTGAAACAAATAAAACTAGGTCAGAAAACCTGAGAATTGATTGCTATGCCGATCAACGGCTTCAGCTCCAGAAGCCTCAGCCGCACACAGACCTGTGCAGCAGTAAAAAAGTTAGAGGGAATGTTGGTCAGGATATGGAGAAAGGGACAAGTGGTAGAATGGATTGCTATACTGGAACAAATTATGGGTGCACATTAATAAATTTGGGGATACAGAGATGCAGCAGTAAACTTAGTAATCCAGAGCCTCCAAATGACGCTCGTAGATTTGAATAAATTCTGGAATCATAAAAGTTAATCTAATGGTAACTCTGTAATCATTGTTGCAGAACATCATCTGGTTCACTAATGTCCTTTAGGGAAGCAACTCTGTAATCTGATTTACATGTGACTCCTGACCCACAGAAATATTGATTCTTTATTGCTGTGTGATATGACTGAAGTCAGTTCAAAGGCACACAGAATATGGTGTTAGCCATGCTATATAAGAATTTTTAAAAGACATGCAGAATAGACAAATAATTGGACAATCAAGATCAGTAGTGAAGGTCACTTTTTAATTGAACCGTGCAAAGGGGTCAAAGGGAAAAGGGATCTCAGAATAGAATCATTACAATCATATATACAATTATTGTGGCCAAAGCACAAAGAAGTAGATTTTATTCCTTGAGGGACAGAATTTAAAGAAAGGGCAATTAGTCTAAAGTTCTGGTCACTTTATAAAAGGCACTGGAGAGGGCAGAGACAAGATTTATAACGAAATGTGTGATATAAACATCAGGAAAGGATTGACAAGTAGGGCCTCTCTCTCAAAAATGAGGGCTGAGGGAGACCTAATCAAGTTATTTAAAATGATTAGTATAGGAGTTGGGATGTCATATTGCGGTTGTACAGGACATTGGTGAGGCCTCTTCTGGATTAGTGTCCAGTTCTGGTCACACAGTTATTAAGCTAGAGAAGGTTCAGAAGAGATTTACCAGGATGTTCCCCAGTATGGAAGGTTTGAGTTATTAAAGGCTGGGACTTTTTCCACTGGATTATAGAAGGTTGAGAGGTGATCTTATAGAGGTTTATAAAATAATGAGGGGTATAGATGGGGGATGGGGGATTTTCCCTAGGATGGCGGATTTCAAGACTAGGGGGCATCTTTTTAGGTGAGAGACATGAGGAGTAAATTTCTTTTCCACAGAGGGTGGTTCGCACGTGGAATGAACTTCCTGAGGAAGTGGTGAATGTTACAATGTTTAACAGAAACTTAGATAAGTGCATGAATAGGAAAGGTTTGGAGGGAAGGCAGGTGGGACTAGTTTAGTTTGGGTTTATGTTTGGCATGGACTGGTTGGACCAAAGGATCTGTTTCCATGCTGACTATGAAAAATGATCCCTTTTGTAAAGAACAGTATAACATGGTCTTTAACATACAACATCTTCAACATGGTCAACAAGAAGTTTAACAGAGAATTCAGAAGGAACTTTTTTTTACCTGAAGAGTGGCAAAAATGCAGCATTGTTATCACCAGGAGGGTTGGAGACAAATGGTGGAAATGCATTTAAGGAAAGCTGGTGAGAAGGGATTAGATGGTAACGATAATAGATGAGGGAAGATGGGGACAATTGAGTAGATCCTGAATGTCAATTTGGAATAATTGGACTGAGTGACCTACATGGATGTAATCCTGGTGCAAATCTCCATTAGAGTTTAAAACTTTAATTTTGGCCAGCATGTACAGAACTACGTGTTTGCAACTTTTCTTGAGGGTTCTCAATGAGTAATGTATTATAATATCATTAAACAAAATCATTGATTCCTAGTTTTTAAGCATGTTGAAAGGGGCCTGGATACAGATTTAAAAAGCAAAATTAAAACTTGGAAGATTAACCACTACTTCTTTTACATAATAAAGCAACCAGACCTTAGAATACTGCATGAAGTGTGGTCTAAACAAGATCTAAACTGATGGAGGTAAAACCTTGAAACTACACAGGCTATTAAACAATGGACAGTATCATAGAGAGCCTGCTCCTGTCCTCATTACATTTCCTTTCAGCAGGGGCCCAACAGACACATGCAGCCTGGTTCAAACCATCTCATGTTGCGTGTGATGCTATGAACTGTACACAGCTAAGGCCAGATCAACAGGCAATAATCAGGATTTTACCATTGGGTTGAATGGGTTACTGGCCAACCACTCTAAGTATTAGGTCTTCAATGTAATTTTGTACAAGAACTACGAACAGGTCTATAGTGCTGGAAATGAACGCTACTGTCATATCTAAGCTCTGGAATGCTGAATCAGGCCCTATGATATCATATTGCTCTGAATTTTGCTTTGGCAATTTAAGAAACGAGCAAGCTTATTTGGCCTTCACAGCTAACTGAGCAAGACAATCTGCTTAGATTGTTTCTTCAATATTCACTAATTTTAAAACTGGAAAGCAACTTGTTTTTTAATATAGTATTGACGGCAGATAAAAGAGATTATGGCACATAAGGAAAGCCTGTTTTGTACCTGTTCCATATGGCACTGGATGTTATCTGGGTAGGATGGAAAATAAAGTGATTTTAATTATGTACCTGGAGGTGGGCGGCCATCATTGATGTTAAATGCTGTCGCAAAAATCCCAAATGGAAATGCACCAATCCCAAATGACATCTGGAATCCTCCATCTCCAAATCCAAAACCTTGGAAACCCTGGGAAATAAGATGATTGTGGCAGTAATTCAACATGAAACAGAATATAAAGAACAAGCACTGCACATCCACTATCGCAAACACTTTTTACACCACTATGATATAATATAATAAAACATCCTATTTCATTTCATGAAATTATAAATGACAGCATCTGAACTGAAGGCATCATATTGACATAAGAAGGGAATTAGTTAGGAGACAGGAGACTAAGTAGAAATAATTGGACATGATTCTTGGTGCCCTTTAACGATTCTGTACTGGGGCCTTAATTTTCATAATAATAATCAATTTCATAGTTTATCCAATTTTGCTGACAACATTGTTAAGTGGCACAAGAAAGCTTAACCCTTTATAATGAACCTTTGAAACAGCACCCAGACCGGATGGTTAACCTTCCAACTTCTAAGTACCTGAGCTGTATTTTTGTGGGTGTAAGTTAAACGGGTAGAGGTGATAATGAAGTTAAAAGTTCAGTTTAGAGCACAAGTAATTGTGTTCACTGTACCTCTGATATCTTTAATGTTACTGACAAGATAGGGAGTGTCTTTATTAGTTCTTTTCCATATGTTTTTGAGTTTTCTACAATTTTTTTTTTGTTTTAAGCAGTGAACCTTGTGGGTTTATTCTTTCAGTAAATAAATGGGCTTTCAGATTTCTAAAGAAATGCAAAACAGAAATATTACTGGTCACTATGGAGATCATAATAATTGGGACTGTCAAGGAATTTTGTGAATTCACAGAGTGTTGAGACTTCACAGTGAATTTTGTGAATTCACCAACTGGTGAGTTTTCAGTGAACTTTGACTTATTAAGAAGGTGCCGGCGTTGGACCGGGTTGGACAAAGTCAGAAGTCACATGTCACCAAGTTATAGTCTAACGGGTTTATGTGAAATCACAAGCTTGTGGAATGCAGCTGACTTCACCTGACGAAGGAGTAGCGCTCTGAAATCTCGTGATTTCAAATAAACCTGTTGGACTATAAACTGGTGTCATGTGACTTCTGACTTTGTCCAACCAATTTTCTGGAAAGGGGAGAATCATTAATTGTTGGAAAACATCCTGGGTTTGTCCCAGGGCAGTTGGGGCCTCAGTTTAACCTTAATTAAGAACTGCGGCTGACTTTGTAACATGCCCACCACCACCCCCCCCCCCCCCCACAGAATATGCAACACAGACCCACTGGGTCAAACAGGATGTTCCAATTCCATCTGCCTTTTCCATATTTCCTTCTTTCTCAATATTCATCTAGTTTCCTTTTGAAAATACCTAAGCTACTTGGCTCAACTATTTAGAATCATAAATCCGTACAGTGTGGAAACAGGCCCTTCGGCCCAACAAGTCCACATCGATCCTCAGAGCTTCCCACCCAGATCCATGTCATATGGTAAAAAGTTTAGCCTTTGGCTCTTTTGCTCATCAACTTAAAACTGTCTCTAGTTCTCAACTCTTCTGCCATTGGAACACTTTTTCCCCTATCTACTGTGTCCAGAATCTTCAGTATTTTGAAGACCAGTATCAAATATTCACTCAGCTTTTGCTTCTCCTTAAGGAGAACAGCTTCAGCTTCCCCAATTTAACTGAAGTTCCTCTTCCCAGAAACCAACCTCTTGGATAGACTCTGAAAAAACAGGTAGCATTCTCTTCACCTCTTTGGTTGGGTCAGGGCTTTAAAAGGATATGGAATCAAGATGGATAGATGGAGTTGAGATACAAAGCAAGTTTGATGGAATTGACTGGCAGATTATTTGAAAGAACTATGGATTCAGTAAGAATTTGTACTTGGTCTCAGCAGAAAGGAGATGTGATACAGGTGTTTCTTTGCAGTACTTCATGATTGTAACGAGAAACACGTAAAATTTTTTTTAAGAGAATGATGGTAGAATGCACTGCCTGACATGGTGGTAGATATTGAATCAAAAGCATTTAAAAGGGAATTGGGGGAAAATGCAGGGTTATGAGAAGAGGATGGGAATGGGACTAATTGAAGGAACAGGTGCAGATTCAATGAGCTGGATGGTTAGCTCCTATTCTGTGATTGGACAACAGGTTTGACGGACTGAATGATCCACTCCCAATCCTGAGCTGTGTCAGAAGCATAGCACAAACGCAAAACACATTCACTATCCCAGTCTCTACAAAAAAATTTACCACAACCCCTCATTTCTGTGTCCCTCTTCCCATCTTGTCTCTTCATCTTGTGCTGTGAAATGAAGGAAAGTGTACTCACCCCTCTACTCTCTGGCTCAGGTCTCTGGCCTTGCGGTCTTGGAGGAGTTTTCTCTCTAAAATTGAATAGCAGTCGACAAGATTTAATGTTGTCCATGACATGTGCAAGAAGAAATCAAATTGTCTCTGAATGTTCAAACTTCGGAAAATTATGACATTCTATAAATTTCATGAATTGATTATTCAAAAGCAAACAGAGAGATGACAGAGAGGACATGAAATGTCAAGAATAGGGCTGTCAACAATATCATGGTCCTGCAGCTCTCAAGCAGCAAGGGGAACTAGGTGAATTCTGAAGAGCCCTTGAGGCATTTTCACAGGCGTGACTGAACTAAGGGCGATGGGAGTGAAACGGCTCAAATGAGATATGATGCTGCCAAGGCTACATTTATTGTAGCCATTTGTACGTCAGAGTGGAGAGTGTGCTGAATGGAATCCTTAGTAATGGCCTCTATTTCATTTTTGACAATAGCCTGACAGCTTATAACATCTTTGCCCTACTGCTAGCCATAAAATGAACCAGAAGACTGTTTAAAGCTTGTTGATAACCTGTTACTCAGTTCACACTCAGCATCTTTTAGAAATCTTAATGCACTGTCTTACGCTGTCCATAGCATTGTCTTTATGTCATACTGACAAGCAAACTTCTAATCAACACTGTGCCAGGAACAATAATCATAATTACCAGTCCCAGAAGCTCATTGCACGTTTTGAACTTCTAAATAAACTGTGCAGGGTTCTTTCTCATTAATTGTTTCAACGTGGCTGTCAAAACAACGAGGCAGTCAGAGGGAGACAGGACCGGTGCGGCGACTTCAATTTCTTTCAGCCTGGCTAAGACAGAAATTCCTTGAGGGCCATTAACAACAGCTGTATTCAACCTATCACTTTGCATTCCCATCCACCTTATTGTTTTCATTTCCACTAACAAAATGAGATAATAAAATTAACATGCATAATTTATATATCTGGAAGAAGCATCCTCTGGAGTTTGTGACCTATTTTTGAGAAGTTGATGGGCAGCATCAGGATGCAATCAACAAACAGCAATTCTAGTTTTCCAGCAAGTGAGGGTAGGTTCCATTCTGCTGCTTTGGAACTCACCTTGGATCCTGCTGGCCTGTGCTTCCTCTTCCATAAAGGGGAATTACTTTGTCTCGACTAATTCCTGCTTTGCAAACAGGGCAAACCTGTCGATTAGGTCTGGTCTCTAACCACTGTCGGAATATGAACACCAGTGCTTTCAATTAGTGACAATATTATCTCAGAGAAAAGAGACTAAGAAAATTGCATTTCCAACTTAACATAATTGAAGAGGAAGTGAAGAACACAAGAGACATTTTTGCAGTGAAAATATACTAATTTCTAGGTTGCTTAATGGAAGTATGAGCCTAACACAGCACAATTGTTTTCATTAAACCACTGCATGATTTGAAAAGCTAAGTGAGTTTCTTCTTATTTTCACACTGATGCCATTTTAGTTTGTAAAGAAAATGCTCACTCCTAGATGACTGGAATTTGAACATTAAGGAAGCTGGAAACAGGGAGATCTCTGGATGAAAAATCTCCATTTTAGACATGCAAGGTTTGATCAGGTACAGTCAGATCGAAGTCATGCCTAACAAATTTGGTGGAATTTTTTATAGGGGGTGATCAAGTGCTTGGATGACAGTAGGGCAGTTGATCTAGTTTACATGGATTTCAGCAAAGCATTTGACAAGGTGCCACATGGAAAACTGATAGAAGGTTAAAAACTCACACAGGATTCACAGTAGGCTAGGGCTGGTTTTGGGATGCGGTAGCAGGAGGGGAGATTTTGAAGCTTGTGAAATCCAGCCCAGCTCGTCCCCGCCTCCCTAACCTGTTCTTCCTCCCACCTATCTCCTCCTCTCACCTCAAGCCACACCCCCATTTCCTACCTACTAACCTCATCCCGCCCCCTTGACCTGTCCATCCTCCCTGGATTGACCTATCTCCTCCCTACACTCACCTTTACTGGCTCCATCCCCGCCTCTTTGACCTGTCTGTTTCCTCTCCACCTATCTTCTCTTCTATCCGCCTCCCCCTCTCTCCCTATTTATTTCAGAACCCCCTTCCCCAGCCCCATTTCTGATGAAGGGTCTGGGCCCGAAACGTCAGCCTTCCTGCTCCTCTGATGCTGCTTGGCCTGCTGTGTTCATCCAGCTCCACACCTTGTTATCCCAGGATTCACAGTAACTTGGCAAAGTTGGCTTAGTGGTAGAAGAGGAGGTTGGTGTTAGAAGGCTGTTTGTGTCACTGGAGTCTGGTTTGCAGTGGCAGACCACAAAGATGTGCGCTGGGTCCCTTACTGTTTGTAACATCCATAAATGATGTAGATCAAAATGTGGGAGGAATGATAGGTAATTTTGCGGATGACACAGATTGGATTTGTTTGTTGACAGTGAAGTGGAAGGTGTTCGATTGTTCGGTGTCAAGAAATATAAACAGATTGGTGAACTGGGCAAATCAATGGCAGATGGAATTTAACTCTGATATATGAGGTAATGCACTTTGGAAGAAGGAATAAGACAAGGAAGTACTCAATGAATGGTAACAAACTAGGAAGTTCAGAAGAGCAGAGGGATGCTGGTCTATCAAGCTCTCTCAAGTAGCCGGGCAGATTACTAGGGTTGGTAAGAAGGTATTTGGGACACATGCAGTTGTGACACAGATTGTAAGAACAGGAAGGTTATGTTGGAATTGTATAGAACTTTGTTCAGGCCACAGCTTGAGTGCTGTGTGCAATTCTGGTCTACACTGTAGGAAGGATGTGATAGTATTGGAGGGGGTGCAAAGGAGATTCACCACGATGTTGAGATAGCAAGAACTACAGATGCTGGAGTCAGAGATAACAAAGTGTGCAGCTGGAGGAACACAGCAGGCCAGGCAGCATCAGAGGAACAGGAAAGCTGACATTTCGGGTTGGGACCATTCTTCAGACCTTTTTTCTGAAGAAGGGTCCTGAACCGAAACATCAGCTTTCCTGCTCCTCTCATGCTGCTGGCCTGCTGTGTTCCTCCAGCTCCACACTATCTTCACCAGGATGTTGCCTGGGATGGAGAATTTCGATTATGAAGAGAGGCAGGATAAGCTAGCTTTGTTTTCTTTGGAGCAGAAAAGGTTGAGGGGGATCTAATAGAGGTGTGTGAAATTATAAGGGGCACAGACAAGGTAAATAAAAAGCAGTTGTTCCCCTTAGCTGAAGGTTCAATAATAAAGGGGCATAATTTTAAAGTGAAAGGTTTAGAGGGGATTTGAGGAAACTTTTTTTCAGCGAGAGGGTGGTGGGTATCTGGAATGCACTTTCAGTGAGGGTAGTTCAGGTGGGAAACCTCACAACCTTTAAAAAGCACTTGGGTAAGCACTTGAACTGTCGTAATATTCAAGGCTATGGGCCTAGTGCAGGAAAGAGGACTAATGTGGGTCGTAGTATATTTTGGCAGTATAGAAGATGAGTTGAAGGCCATCTTCTGTGCTGCATGATTCTATGATGTGATGGATTCCATCCTCAAAGTACTAAACAGTGAAGAAATTGTAAAGACTTTAATAATGATTTGCAAATAGTCTCCCAGGAATGGATGCCTCTGCATTATTTCAGAGATCTGAAAGAAAGAAACTAGCAATTACTGGACCGATTAGTCTCCAGGTTCAGGGAGTTGTACTGGAGCTATAGCTCTTACTGTTTGGTTCATGATTTCAATAAAACAATAGACAGCATATATCCAAGCTTGGTGATGATAATGAGTAAATAAGGTGGCAGGGAGCAATGGTTGCAAAGGGATATGGATAGATTAAGTGGTTGGAGGTTTTGGGTGGAAACTGTGACATCAACATGGGACTGAAAAAGAACACTTATGCTGAACTGAATAAAAATAGACAGGATTATTTTTCAAATGGCGAGAAGCCAAACTGCGGATGAGCAGAGTCATAGAGGTCTACAGCACAGAAAAAGGCCCTTCAGACCATCTAATCTACACCAGTCAAAAACAAGCACCCAACTATTTTAATCCCATTTCAGAGTCTAGGATTCGAGTATAAAAATCTCCAATAACTAATGAACAGAGCAAAAAGTAATTTGAAGATCCAATGAAGCACTGGCCTTTGTCTGAAAAGCCTCAATACAAAGAGACAAAATTTATGTGAGTTGATAAAAAACCTCCAGCCAGACCTTCTGGAGAGCTAGTTTGGGAACAACCTCAAAGAACTAGCTTGATGTGGCAGCACAGTATCATCCGTCTCTGTCGCATCTACTCTGATGAGGAGATGTTCCATTCCCAAACATCCCGAATGTCCGCCTTTTTGAAGCAAAACTTTCCCTGCCCTGTCATCCAGACAGCCCTCTACCACGCCTCCTCCATTCCCTGCTCCACAGTTCTTCTCAACCACCCCCTCCCCAAACGTAATAAAGATAGGGTCCCCCTTGTCCTCACATTCGATCCCACCAGTCTCCATATCCAATGTATCATTCTCAACACTTCTGCCAACTCCAATTAGACCCTACCATCTTCTAGTCCCCACCCCTCTCTGCCTTCCCCAAAGACCATTCCCTTTGCCACTCCTTAGTTCACGCTACACTCCCCACCAACCACTCCAACCTGCCTGATACCTTCCCCTGTAACCGTAAAAGATGCAACACCTACCCACACATCACCTCCCCCACCTCCATTCAAGGCCCTACACAGCCCTTCCAAGTGAGACAGAGCTTCACCTGCGTCTCCTCCAACCTAGTCTATTGCATCCGGTGCTCCCGATGTGGACTTCTCTATGTCGGTGAGACCAAACGTAGACTAGGTGACCGTTTCGCCCAGTATCTCTACCTGGCCCGTAATGGCCCCCCGAACCCCCCAGTCACCGCCCATTTCAACTCCCCACCCCACTCCCCCTCCCACTTCGACATGTCCGTCCTTGGCCTCCTCCGGTGTCACAGCGACTCAGAACACAAATTTGAAGAATAACACCTTATCTTAACACCTGGGCACCCCACAGCCCGAAGGACTCAACATGGAGTCTTCCAATTTCAAATAACCTTCCGAGCCATCCCCCGGCTTCCCTTCCAGCCCTACCTCCTCTCTTCCATTCTCCTACTGTTCCCCCCTTCCAGCCACCAACCAGATTCATCCCTCCCATCGACCAACCAGGTTGTACCTACCACCTGTGTCCACCGATCACCAACATTCCACCTTCACCCCTCCCCACTACCTCATCAGCAGCTCCCCCTACCCCCACATCCAGTGCTGAAGAACAGTAATACCCGAAATGTTGACTGCTCCTTTCCTCCAGCCTCCCGTTTGTCTACCTTGGATTCCAGCATCTGTAGTTTTTTTGTCTCCATCATCAGAAAGATATTGGGGCTAAGTTATTACAGCATGTGACATTGACCAGACCTGGATTCCGTCGAGAGGGTTGCTTGCTGAGGATCACAGAGACTGGGTTGTTAAGTATATTGAAGGCAGAGATAGGTTTTCATCAGTAATAGAATCAAGGGCAATGGGGAAATGGCAGGTAAGTGGAATGAGAATCGGCCATGATATTGTTGAAAGGCAGGGCAGACTTGATGGGTTGAATGGCTTACTTCTGCTCCTACATCTTATGGTATAGGTGTCCATGAGGTGTTAAACAGTGTTTTGGATGGTGCTTTCACCAGCAAGACCTTCTGTTTTTACCTGAAAATTTGGACTGACCTCTGAGATATTAGATAAAAGACCTCCTGACCCACATCAGCAAAAGAAATTCTCATTTGGACAGTGGTTTTCATCAGCTCAATTATCCATGCAGTACAAAACAATAATTTACACATAGCAAATACGTACAAACTGTGAAGTCAGACAGACAGTTACAATAAAATATATTTCTTTGCCGGAGGCATAAATATGGGCCAGGACACTGGACACACTGCTTTTACAACAGTGTTGTGATCTTTTATAGCCACCTGTGCAGGACTCAAGTATCTCCAACAATACAGCACTCCTTTACCCTCAATTATTTCTGATGTCCCTAGATTGAGACTTGAACCCATAGCTTTCTCACTCTTTGAGGAATTTACTCCCACTAAGCCAAAGCTACAGTTCAGCAGTCTGGAAGTGAACCTTGATCTCAGTATCGCAGTGGGATGAGGCACTGAGCGTTCCAGCCTTGAAGTCAGGGAGAGTTTACAAATAGTGAAAGTAACAGACGTAACAAAATCAGAAATTGCTTGGTGTGTAAAAAAAAACTCAGCAGGTCTGGGAGCATCTGTGAAGAGAAACTGCCCGATTTCTACAACCAAAGTTCTTTGTTTTTTCTTTGTTTGGTAAAGTAACAAACGTACCTGGTGCAAGCAGGGCCAGCTTTGGATATCCAGAGGTGTCACCGAGAAAAGGAACAAAATATTGGAAGAGTTAGTGTCTTAGAACCTTTAACAAGAAGAAGCAGATTTTAGACGCCGAGGCCCTTACCAGAACAAGTGACCACACAGACTGATCACCGCATCCTTCGCTGTGTCCAGACAGATATTACACTCAAAGGTACTGTCTTGACCCTTGCCCTCCCCGGGCCCTCGGCTCTCCCCCGGCCCAGGCCCTGCGCCTCGGCTCTCGCCTGGTCCGGGGCCTCTATCGGCACCAGCAGCCGCCGAATCCAAACTTGCCATCTCCCTGTTAGCAACACTCACACATCCGGCTCGCCACCGGAACGGACTGCGCCTTAGCAACCGCTCCGCTGCAGCACGGCTCCAGAGAAAGGTTCCATCCCCTAGATAGGCCCTCTGAAAGTTCACTTTGTGGGGAGCTGTTCCTCTAACGCAACCTCAGAGAGATCAACAATTAAAACTCATTTCCTGACGCTTTCCATGACCACAGGAACATTACGGCCAATAAACAGCGTTGTAACTTGCTCTTCTCTGGGATGTGGGCATCACTGGCTAGGCAAGCATTCATGGTTTATCCTTAATTAGAAAATCGAACCTTCGGCCCATGATGTTGTGCCGAACTTTTACCCTAATCCTAAGGTCTATCTAACCTCCAACCCTACCTTATACTATCATCCATATACCTATCTAATAGCCACTTAAATGCCCCTAATGAGGCTGACTCCACTACCCTCTCCGGCAATGCATTCCACACCCCGACCACTCTGAGTAAAGAACCTAGCTCTGACATCTCCCCTATAATCTTCCCTCCATTCCAGGCAACATCCTGGTAAATCTCCTCTGCACCTTTTCCAACGCTTCCACATCTTTCCTGTAATGAGGCGACCATAACTAGACACAATACTCCAGATGTGGCCAAACCAGGCTTTTATACAGCTGGAGCATAACATCACGGCTCTTGAACTCAATGAAAGCTAACACACCATACGTCTTCTTAATAACTCTATCCACCTGGGTGGCACTTTCAGGGAACTGTGAACATGAACTCCAAGATCTCTCTGCTCCTCCACACTGCCAAGAATCTTTCCGTTAACTCTGTATTCTGCTTTCAAGTTTTTCCTTCGAAAATGAATCACCTCACAATTTCCGGGGTTAAACTCCATCTGCCACTTCTCAGCCCAGCTCTGCATCCTATCAATGTCCCTTTGTAACCTAGAACAGCCCTCCGCACTATCCACAACTCGACCCACCTTCGTATCATCTGCAAACTTACTAATCCACCTTTCCACTCCTTCATCCAAATCATTTACAAAAATCACAAGAAGAGGACCCAGAACAGATTCTTGTGGTACACCACTCGTAACTGAGCACCATGTTGAATAGTTTCCGTCCACTACCACCCTTTGGATTCAGAATTGGCTGACCCTTAGAAAACAATCTGCCACATTTCCCCCTATCCCATGCCTCCTTACCTTCTGCATGAGCCTACCATGGGGAACCTTATCAAACACCTTACTTAAATCCATGTATACCACATCCACTGCTCAACCTTCATCTACGTGTTTGGTCACCTCTTCAAAGAATTCAATAAGGTTTGTGAGGCGTGATCTACCCCTCACAAATCCATGCTGACTATCACGAATCAAACTGTGCCTTTCCAAGTGATCATAAATCCTATCTCTCAGAGCCCTTTCCAATAATTTGCCCACCACTGACGTTAGACTAACTGGTCTGTAATTTCCAGGGTTATCCCTATTCCCTTTTTTGAACAAGGGAATGACGTTTGCCTCTCTCCTATCTTCCGGCACTATACCTGGGGGCAGTGAGGACGAAAAGATCATCGCCAAAGGCCCTGCAATCTCTTCCCTCGCGTCCCATAGAATCCTTGGATAAATCCCATCAGGCCCGGGGGACTTATCTATCTTCAAGTTCCTCAAAATTCCTAGTACATCTTCCTTACTAACACCGACCTTCTCTAGCCTACCAGCCTGTTTCACGCTGTCCTCCTCTACAACTAGGTCCCTCTCAGTTGTGAATACCGAAGAAAAGTATTCATTAAGGACCTCTCGTATCTCTTTAGGCTCCGTGCACAAATTCCCTTTACAATCCTTGATCGGCCCTACCCTTTCTCTGGTCATTCTCTTGTTCCTCATGTTCGTGTAAAAAGCCTTGCAGTTTTCCTTGATCCTATCTGCCAAGGTTTTCTCATGCCCTCTTATAGCTCTCCTAAGCCCTTTCTTCAGCTCCTTCTTGGCTGCTTGTATCCCTCTAGAGCCTTTTCCGTTCCTTGTTTCCTAAACCTTATATAAGCATCCTTCTTCCTCTGACCCAGTCGTGCGACCTCTCTTTGAGGACCAAGGCTCCTTCACTCGACCGCATCTTTCCTGCCTGCTAGGGACAAACATATCGAGCACACGCAGTATGCATTCCTTAAACAATCTCCACATTTCAATAGTGCTCTTCCCTGACAGCATCTGTTCCCATTTTATGTTACCCAGTTCTTGCCTAACAGAATTGTAATTACCCTTCCCCCAATTATAAACCTTACTCTGCTGTTTGTACCTATCCTTTTCCGTGACTATTGTAAAAGTAACAGAGTTATGATCGCTACTGCCAAAATGCTCTCCTACCAACAGGTCTAACACTTGGCCCGGTTCATTGCCAAGCACCAAATCCAAAGTGGCCTCTCCTCATGTTGGTCTATCTACATACTGTATCAGGAATCCTTCCTGAACGCACTAGACAAAATCTGGACAAAATCTAAACTATTACAACTAAATTGTTTCCAATCAATATTTGGAAAGTTGAATTCACCCATGACTACAACCCTGTGAGTTCTGCACCTTTCCAGTATCTGCCTCCCAATCCGCTCCTCCACTTCTCTGCAACTATTAGGGGGTCTGTAAAAAAAACCCCAACAAGTTGTCCGTAAGAGGGTGATGGCGAGCAGCCTTCTTGGACTGCTCCAATTTGTGCGTTGTCAGGGCACACACGACCTGTTTGAGAAGGAGTTACAAGATTTTGACCCAGCAATAGCATGGGGATAGGGATTTCTTTCCCATATATCTCCAAGTCAGGATGGTGAGTTGCTCAGAGAGGAACTTTTCTTGCCCTTGTCCTCCTTGGTGGTAGCTGCCATGGGTTTGTAAGGTTTAAAAAGCCTGGATGAGTTGTGCAGGTGCATCTTGTAGATGGTACACAGTGCTGCTACTGCAAATCACACATTATCCTTAGTTGGAACTTACTCATCATTCCTTCGCTGTTATTGGGACAAAATCCTGGAATTGTCTTCCTTACAGCACTGTGGGTGTACCTACAACACAAGACCTGCAATGGTTCAAGAAAGCAGCTCACCATCACCTTCTACAGGACAATTAGGGACACTCGAGACAGCGATGCCCACATTGTTTGCAAAGAACAAATGTAAGGACTGATGTATTGTCCATAGTAACATCTCTACCAATCAACACGCTGCTTCTTACAGTAGAAATGTCATGTTCCCCTTGTTACAGAGTCAAAGATGTACAACACAGAAATAGACCCTTCGGTCCAACTCATCCATGCCGCCAAGGTATGCTAAACTAATCTAGTCCCATTTGTCAGCATTTGGCCCATAGCCCTCTAAACCCTTCCTAGTCATATATCCATCCAGATGCCTTTTAATTGTTGTAACGGTAGCAGCCTCCTCCACTTCCTCTGGCAGCTCATTCCATACGTGCACTGCATGAAAAAGTTGCCCCTTAGGTTCCCTTTAAATCTTTCCCCTCTCACCTTAAACCTATACCCTCTAGTTTTGGACTCCCCTATGCTGGGGAAAAAGGCCTTGACTATTCACCCTATCCATGCCCCTCATGATCTTAGAAACCTCTACAAGGTCACCTCTCAGCCTCTTCCTCCAGCTCAAACCTACCAACTGTGGCAACATCCTTGAAAATCTTTTCTGAACCCAAGTTTCACAACATCTTTCCTTTATCAGGGAGACCAGGATCGAACACAGTATTCCAAAAGTAGCCTAACCAATGTCCTGTACTGCCACAACATGACCTCCCAACTCCTTTACTCAATGCACTGACCAATAAAGACAGGCATACCAAAGGTCTTCTTCACTGCCCTGTCTACCAGTGACTCCACTTTCAAGGAACTACAAACCTGCATGCCAAAATCTCTGTATGGCAACACTCCCCAGGACCTTACTTTTAAGTATATTAGTCTTGCCTGATTTCCTTACCAAAATATAGCATCTCACATTTATCTAGTAAACTCCATCTGCCACTCCTCAGACCATCTGACCAAGGTCCTGTTGGACTCCAAGGTAACCTTCTTCGCTGTCCACTACACCAATTTTAGTGTCATCTGCAAATTTATTAACCATACCTCCTATATTCACATCCAAATAGTTTATACAAATAACAAAAAAAAAAATCAGTAGACCCAGCACCAATCCCTGCAGGAAACTGCCAGTCATAGGCCTCCAGTCCAAAAAGCAACCCTCCACCACACCCTAGTTCCTACCTTCTAGCCAAATTTATATCCAAATGGCTGGTTCTCCCTGTATTCCATGTGAACTAACCCTGTTAGGCAGTCTTTCATGCAGAACCTTGTTGAATGCCTTATTGAAGTCCATGTAGACATCAACTGCTCTACCTTCAATCCTCTTCATCATTTCTTCAATCAACTCAATCAAGTTAGTGGGACATGATTTCCCACACACAAAGACATGTTGACTATTCCTAGATCAGTACTTGCATTTCCAAATAGACATAAATTCTGTCCCTCAGAATCCCCTCCAACAACTTGCCCACCAGTCTAAGTTTTTTGGCTTTACCTTACTACATTTCTTACATAACAGCACCACGTTGACCAACCTCCAGTCTTCCAGCACCTCACCCATGGCTATCGATGATGCCAAAATATTTTGGCAAGGGGCCCAGCAATCACTTCCTTAGCTTCTCACAAAGTTCTAGTGTACACCTGATCTGGTCCCAGGGATTTATCCACCTTTTTGTGTTTTAAGACTTTAGCACCACCTCCATTGTAATATATGGATAACACAGTGTGGAGCTGGAGGAACACAGC